GCAAATGAAATAGTTTGCATGGCTTTCCAGATCCTACTAGTCTACTAGTTCATTCCAAAGGTATTCAGATGATGCTTAAAATTTTTGCTGAAAGCTTTCATTACGTTTTAATGGATGTTACCCTTTAAACAAGTTGTTTTAAATCCCTTTAGTTGCAAAAGACTTCAAATCAAACTCAGTCTTCAGTGCTGCTTTTTGAGCTATGTCCCACTTTCTGTTCTCGAAGATGAGGAAATCGTTTTAATCTTTTGTAACATACATGGCTGAACGATCCAATTTAGTCGTGCTTTCATAGTATGGGGTGCTGTTTGGTGCCATTTAATGACTTTATTCTGCATGCATCATCATTTGTACACTGCTTGAAGAAATTGATGTAATGTAAATTCTTAATTTATACCAACTACAAAATGTCAGTGGAGCTGTCTGTATTAGAATGGCATTATTAATTTTTTTAAATTATGCTATTAGGACTTTGTGGAGGACAGTATTTTCATAGGGAAAAGTTATTGAGTCAACCACCCATCCCTTGCTGAAACACAAATAAAGAAAGTGGGTTTGGAGGGAGAGAGAATTGTTTAGGTTTTTTTGCATGTTTTAATTTAGGCTGTAATCCAAAAAATATTGAAGGCAATCTACAAAATCTGATTGGCTCCATGGGGCTTTTCAGCAGGCTCTAAGTGTTTGTGGAAAGGGTCATTCTGATACAAGTGGAAACTGAAATCCTGTTTAGAAAAGGCTTCAGTAGGTTCTACAAAGATGTTATATGAAAATTTCTAAGTGATTAGGTCTAACTACACTTTTCAAAGGGATTTACCACGAAGATTATTGAGAGCTTGTATTAATTTAATTACTAAATTGTGACTTGCAGAAGTAAGTGGCAGACCTCTGCATCAGCAGTAACGCATTTACACAACAAACGCAGGTTGTTGGCTACAAACACAGCTGCTGAGAAGCCCGAAGGATCTGAAGGAAGATCCGTGTGAGCGTAACCACAGTGTGCTTGAGTTGTCTGTGGTGCCGCATTGCACTGCTCAGCCCTGTTCTTCTAACCTGACAATTTCACGGCTGTACTCCACTGCATGGTATAGATACCCAAAACAAACGGAGCAAAAACTCAGTTACAGATTCTCAAATGCACGTTCTCTGATTCATGCTCAAGGAGGAAACCTCCTTAAATGTCAAAAAGAAATATGCTAGCAACTTCCCTCCTGTATGTCTCTCTAACAACTGACAGGTAGTCCCAAACTGACCTCTTCTTACACGCACAGAGGCATTAAACAGGCTTGCCAGTTTTCTTCCGATTTTTTTTTTTATTGTTGGAAGACGTGTGTATCGGACTTTACCTAAAGGATTTTCAGGAGTTGCAAGCAATATCTTTGGTGCCCTTTCCTTTTCCTTCTTCAGAAATTGTTAGGTTTTGACACTCAAATAATTTTACAGATAATCTGGTTTTCTATTTCAAAATCCAACCGTTTCAATACTTGGGAATCATTGCCTCCCAGCCAAACACATAGATGGCAACAAGACAACTTGCAACATACAACACAAACATATTACTTCTCTTTGCCATGTTTTGACATGAATTTGAAAGTTTCTTTACTTCAAAATACTCCCGAGTATACTTTGGGAGTATGAAGAAGAGAGAAAAATGGGTACACATAATAACGCAAGCCCAAAGAAAATGTTGACTAAAATTCAAAAAATTAAAAACTACTTTGTGTTTTATGTCTCTCTTCCCTGAAGTCTGTATATTTGGGTTATAGAAGGCAGTTTCCTAGATTTTGTCAGGGAAAATGGTGCTTTGGACTGACTAGTTGTATATAATTAATTTTGGGGTTTAACTTCAGGCATTTCATATCCTCAATTTCTACCATGTACAAAGAAATTACAGCTAAAGAGTTTTGCCAGCGAATCTAACTACTGTATCTCCAGAGATTGCTCTCAATGGGCAGTTCACAAAGGAGGTGAACTTACCGGGTAGGTAGTGTCTGTTTGTGTTGGTAGTTTTGAGTTGATATCGAGTCCCTTTAAAAAGACAAGGTCATTTGGATCTGCTGGAGGGAGAAGGAGGTTGCTCCTTTTCTGGAGGTGCCAGAGAGTTGGTGCATGTGGTGTTTGGGGTCGCCGTGTGGAACTGGCCCTGGCTCAGCAGGGAGGCCATGGTAGAGTGGCGGCCACCAGGCCCCGGACTGGCATAAAGAGCTTCCCAGAAATGAGGAGGAGATGAGCAGACTTTGCTGCCCCTCAGAAAGCCACTCAGTTGGTGGGCAGCAAGATCCATTTTAAGAACATTTTAGGCAGAGTTGTGCTTATACGGTTTTTGTTTGGCTTTTGTCTGGCTAGCCTCGTTGCTCTGAGTTCTCTCAGTTTTTAGAATTTTTGTTTTCTAGTTCTGTTCAATCCAACCCAGCCTTTTTGAAAACCTTCTGCTCTTTTTTAGGGAACTGCCTGTAGAAGATACAGGCACATGCACATAAAAGCCAGGGCCTCCCCAAAGCCTATCGCAGTCTGTAACAGACATCAACCAGAAACTTGCTCTTTTAAATCCAAACTCTAGCAATTGTGATAATAGCTGTAGGCAGAAACCTTGAGCATGCAAGCCAAACATACAGCAGAGACAAAATGCAATATTGTGCTTTAAAAAGTACTGTTCTCCAGAGTTTCATCCTCTTTAACATGCAGACTTGCTCCAGGAAAACTCTTTGAGTGTACTGAATATCTGCTCAAGGATATTCATCTGTCTGTCTATCTATGCATGTATAAGTATATAAACATTGTCATTAATAAAAATACAGCCCCTATGTTTTAGAAAAATTCTTAAAAATTAGAAACATTTCAAATCTTCCAAGATAGATACAACCACATAATTAGAATATCGGTCTGAAATAACAATCCCATTAATCCCATTTGCAGCCTAATCCTGTGTCAAGGAGCTATAGGTACCAAAAACGTGTATCTTGATTTCGGGCCCATCAAAATGCTGGATTCTGTATCTTTTGATTTTGGTTATTGTTCAGAAAGCGGCCATGAACTCAGCTCCTGCATCCGAATTTTCATCTCCTTCAAAAACTAAGTGATATTTGAATGTACATGTTCTGTTTCATATTTCCTTCTCTCTGCTGTCACTACTAAACTATTAATCATGGTTCATCCATTCTTGGTATGCAATTTTAATTGGAATAGCACATGTTAAAATGCTTTCAGACATGAGTGATTTGGATGCTGTTGACATAATTATTGGCTTCTATTAGATAAGCAGTGTCTTATTTTAAGAAACAACCATTTATTCTTACAACAGACTTTCTTTGGGGTGTTAATAGTTAATCATTTTGAATGCAAATGTGTTCTCAAGGAAAGTAAATGAAGATATGCCTGGCTGAAAAGTCTTAAGATGTTCAAAAAAAAAAAAAGGAAAATTAAACATTAAGGCAAATTCTGTTGACAGAGAAAGACTAGTAATATATGAGCCAGGCTTTTAACTTGATTTGTTTAATCAGTTTCCTTTTAAATTAGGGGAAGCTAAGTCTTCCACTTTTGAAGGCGCAGTGGGAAGCAGTAAGGTTACTATAGGTGAACGTGGATTCGATGCGTCTCTCCTGCATGAAGTGCATCTCTACTCGTTATTACGCAGTCTCGCAGGGAGGCCGAGGGGGGTTGGGAGATGGTTGGCATGATCACATACATCCACCCGAGCCTGAAAACCTCACACGGTATGGAGAAGGCACACTGATGCTGTAATTGCTTTGGTGAGAAGGGTTAGTTGGAGAATACTGGAAGGGGAAAAAACAACCAGTAAAAACTGATTTCTTTAAACAGGTGCATATATGGATTCGAGCTAGCCTAGGGTATCAGAACTATTGCCATCAAGCAGGAAATGGCAAGATTATCACTAAACTGAAAAGCCAGCTCTGTTGGAAGTGCCAATTACTAGTAATGTATGAGGTGGGTTTCTTAGTCTAATTGGGAAATATTTTTAAAAGACAGTAGAAATGATGTGAATGAGCTGTGAACTCTCTGTTCTTCTAAGCAAATTACTGGGTGGATTCCTAGGAGAGAAGGGGTAAAATGGTTCTAAAAACACTTGATAGATGTCTTCTGGGCATCAGAGCCTTGTTAACAGTCTCGTGGTTTTGCCCTGGGTTTATTATACCACATATAAAGTTTAAAACTGCTGACGCAGGAATTCTTACAGGCTTGAGGAAAAAATCTTTGCACGCTGCTCTGCCACCCTGTGGGCTTCCACGAGGGTGTGGTGTATGTCACCTGGTAATTCTGATGTGAGTGAATGGAGAAGAGCAAGTGCTGTCAGCGGGTCACTTGGAGGAGACTGCAGTGCAGCCACCAGGATGCTTTGCGTCGTTACTGACACGGGAAGAGAAAATAGCATCGTTACACGTTCTCACAGGCTGTGTGAGCAGCCCTTAGTCTTTGCTTGCCTCTTGGCCCATGGATCTGTAACGTATTAGGAGCAAAATTTCTGTCCTGGCTTGTTTTAACCTGTTAATTGCCTCTGCCCATGAGCATCATCAGTCACGTGATGCTTTTTGCCCATCAGCTACCGCTTGGGGACTAACAGCCCAGGATACAGCTCAGCTCTTTCTTTGACAGTGTTACCAGAACAAACTCCATTTGGTTATACCGGTTTAGGACAACTCCCCAGTGCAAAGGTCTTCTCCTTATTTACACTGGTCATCACTGTGCACCACTCTGAAAATGTTCCCTTCAGCTCATGATTTTTCTAGACCATTTTTTTCCACAACTGCTATACCTGCCAATGCTATAGCCCATACTTAGCTTCAGTGTTAAGCGCGCCTGTTCTCAGATAAGATTGCACTAGATGGCGACCCCACCTTGAGAGATAGGCACTTTGGTGATGAGGTTGAGTTTGTTCTGCCATATCTTTCCTACTGGGAGAGATTGTGGGCTCCAATGCAGGGGAGCACGGAGATCGCTTGGAGCTAAAACATTTGCTGTGACCCTGTCTCTGCTTTCTCCTCAAGCCTCCTGCGTTGTGGCAGGAGGGCTCGGGTTTGGCTCACGCGGCCTCTAATGCCCAGCTAGCTCCAAGCAGCAGTGACTGGGATGCTTCTAGTACCATAAATTCTGCAGCACTTACAGGGGGAACCTGCAAAAGCAGCACGGTCTGCAACTGCTGTCTGCCCTTTTAGGTGACTTCAGCTGCTGCAGAGGGCAGAGCCTGTGCCAGAGGCCTCTGGCGCCCTGCACACACAGGCTCCCCTGGGAACCCCCTGCAGCCATGGGCACACATTGCCCAGAGAACAGAGAGGACAAAGCATATTTTGCCTCTGAATTTGGAGGCACAGTTGATCTAGTGCTGCTGCTTTTTTGCTGTAAATCATATTACTTGCCCAATCACTTTCTTCTTTTGTGTCTCTTTACAGAGTGATGAGGTTTTAACGGTCATCAAAGCAAAAGCACAGTGGCCTGCCTGGCAACCACTAAATGTGTAAGTAAGCAGGGAATCATGTGTCTCAATAGCCTTGTGTCCAGTGTTGTCTAACGGACTGCTCCAAACTCATTGTCTCACATAATCATTTACTCTTGCAAAGAAACAGTCTAAAAATATTTTGATAAGTGATTTTATCTTTTTTGGGTTTGCCAACAGTTGCTTCTCTCTTTCTTTCCTCTTTATCAACTCTTCATTTTTTACATGCTTTGGTTCACTAACTGTTACAGCAGAAGGAACACCCCATAGAGCGCATGCTTTAGTTGAACAATTATGTTTATTCAACGCTTGCTCAAATATATGTTGTACTATTCTGCATCCAGTATTTTTAGTGTCTGGTTAATGCACTATGTCCATGCAGTGAGTAACACAAAGATTTACCAGGTTTTCTGTCTGGGAAAATCCCCAATCTACCAACGAAAGCCTCCTAAAATGCTTCTTTGAAATACTCTTAAGATAACATTGTGATCCTGATGATAATAAAACCACGCTTATTTTATCAAGTGAGATAGCTAACTAGCTTCCAAGGATCCTAACTTTGGGATCTTTGGCACTCAAAACAGGACAAAATTCTTGTGTTGGGATACTCTTGAACTTATTTGTTGGGGTTGCAGAGGGAGGAGTGGAGTTCTTGCATACCTTATCTGTGCTTGGCCTAATGCTTGTACTAATTATCCAGACCCAAATGGGTGAGACTTACCAAGGAGTGACTAAAGATGAGAACTAAGTATAAGAAATCATATCGTTAGTTAAGAGAGTCGAATCAAGTCCTTGGAGAAACAGGACAGTTATTCTACTGCAACACTGTAGGGACCAGGTAGTGTTATTTCCTCTGTAAGAAATATGAGAGCAACAGTTAGTGGAATGCTGTGTCTGGTTTTGTTGTCTGTCATTTGGCAAGTAGGTGAAAATTTGGAGTTCGTCAGAAAAAAAGCTGTAAGAAGAGTTCAGTTTTTAGAAAACGTTCCCTTCTGTAAGAGGCTCAGGACTTATATTCTCTCCCCTCTCCCCAGCCCCCCCCAAAAATAGAGGTTAGGTGGTGACTTGATCACAGCTTAAATAGTGACAAGATTTCTGATAGTTGATGGTTTTTAATCTAGCCAAAAAAAAAAAAAACCCTACAAGATTCCTACTATCATGGAAGATGATGCCAAGGAAATTCAGACCAGAGGTATGGGGAAAATCTTTAACTAATCTTCAGAACAACTTACCTGAACATGAGGTGGATTTTCCATCACTTGAAGATATTTTAACCCTGAAACAGAGTTGTAGGCTCTGCACAGGAATTCTGAGGTAGGTGTTTTTGACTGGTGTTACGCAAACAGGCAGTCAGTGAAGATGACAGTAATGGCATTCTTTATTTATGGTGCTATTCCCCTGAAATCTTCAGCACTTTATTTTTAAAGGCTATTCGGACAATGAACCGTACTGGAGTTGGTAGCGTTTGCCATGCAGTAGCTTGAACAGCAGTTTTTTTTTTTCCTTGCTGCCTTCTTTTTATTCACTCCAAATTGGCACTGTAAAATAGCAACTTCAGTCCACCTGCCTGGTCTGCTATGGTAAGGTCTGTTTGGCTGAAATGAACCATTTATTTTTCCCTCCAATTTCCATTATTCTTCTGAAGCAGCATTTATGTATGGTGCTTTTGTATCAAAGTGAACAATACCAGTAGGAATTGACTGTTCTAGGGGCTTGGGAGGCTTTGGCATTGACAAGAGAGTGGGCTTGTACTTTGCACACAGAAAGATGGAGAGATGATCTCCTCCTCCAAAGTCTCAATCCATCATCTTTCCTATACATTGACTATATTACATAACAAAAATCAAAGCTAATTAATGTATACTGGTGGTATACCTCTGGTGGTAATAGCTAGTTTAATGCAACACTGAAAAATTTCACAAAAAAGTCAAGAGCGAACAACTTCAGGTATTTTCTAGGCATATTCTTTTACAGCCATGTATGAAAATGCATCTGCAGCATCCTCCAGATGCTCTTCCAGTCACTTCTTACCTTTCTCATAAGGTAATGTTCTCACCTGATATTTGTGCTTTGAAATGCTGAGCAAGGGTTCCTCTAACAAATGTTCCTTTACTTTATATGCACTGCTAAATTTTTGCCTTTTAAATAATTTTTATCGTATTTTTACCATGATGTCTGTCTTTTTAATTCCATTTTAAAATAAGATTTCCGCTTCAAAGGAAGACAAATTTTCCAATTTCCATTAATTTCTAGTGTTAGGCTTCCCATTTGCTGTTCTGGATCATCCCCGTTGGAAGATTTATATTTTAATTGTGCAAGGACTGGATAATGACTGTTTCAGAGAAACATTTGGTTGATTATTATGCATAGGATGGCCCTCTTGCTGATAATTGACTGAAAGTCATGAATAACTTTCTTTCGCACAATGATGAGTTAAATGTCTAATACATAACATGGTGCGAGACTGATGTCAAAGCAGTGTTACAACGTGGCATAATAAGCACAACTGAAAAACCTTTCCGAGTGTGTTTTACAACAGATATAAAATGCATAGTACTAGTGAGCGAATTTACAGAGGCCTGCAGTGTCAGAAGTTAGTGAATTCAGTCTGCTCATACTTCAGAGTTCAAAGATGCCACCGCATTCGCACACCAGTCACCCATCATAGTGTACAACAGGGCAGTATTGGCTGGGCTTCTCTCACTGATGGATCACGGAATTAAATGGCTTTTCTTCCCCAGTGTCAGCGACAGTCAGTGAGGCTGTGTGACTCATGAGGCCGGCTGTACCTCATTAAGTAATGCCTCAAGCTCTCTCTAGACTGAAGGCATGAAGCATATAGGTCTGTATCTAAGAGCCTTTATGTAAAATAGAACTTCCCAGGATAACCCACTAGAAGAAAAATAAGCACTAATCCTCATCATAACTCACATTATAGAGTCTGACTAGTTAGAATCAGTTACAAGAAGAAAAATTGGCCTGTCTGGGGAGGTAAGGAGCAAAGTCGGTTATTAGCCATGGAAGTTGTCAGTTCCACATCTTGGCGAAAGCTGAATTAGCTGAAAATGGTGAAATCCAAGCCATGTAGTGTTGTCATAGCACTTACTATTTTTACAGTTGCCTGTTTTCTCATGGTCATTCTATCCTTAGTGCTCTGTAATTCCTCACCATAAAGGAAAGACTTTATCATGCATGAACCTTTCTTTTCTGTGACCACATGTTTGTCATGATGACTGGGGAATAGAAGAAAGCAGTCTTCAGGTGGATCTCTGATTTTCCAAAAATGCTGGACCTCCAAGCCAAAATACTACATAAAAACAAGGAATATCATTTCACCCTACCAATCTCAGCTCTCTGAAGAAAGACTTTCTGTGAAAGGAATTGAAAACAGACAGTTGGACAGGAGTGACACATAAGTGGACTTCTTGCTGGGTGCTTTCTAACATGTACAAAACTGTCCAGTATAGGTATATGGCTTTTTCGTAATCTAGGCAAAGGGAGAAGGGTTTGAATTGTAACTCTTGTGTCTGACCACTTTCTGCAGTTGCTGCTAACCAGAGAAGCATTGAGCACTGTGCAGTGCTGTGCAATGTGGAGTTCCACGTACACAGAGCCTCACACTCTCATATTATTGTTTTGCACCAGAAGGTGCTGGGTTTTTTAAGATCCCAACAAGAAAGGCACAAATGCTCTAAGGAAAGGCCATTATTTTCTTAATATCCCAGAACAGGTGATAGCAAGTTATAAAGTCTTAAGTTCCTGCTGGTGTTGGGAACTCTGAAGTGATACAGCACTGGACAGACCTTTAGTCAGGGCACAGCATGCTGCAGAGACTTCCCATCCGTGGCGAGGTTTGTCCAGTGCTGTATCATTAAAGGTAATACTTTGAAAGGCAATACTGATTTGAAAAAATAAAAAATAAGTATTTATTGAAAAAGTGGCTTTACCTTCTTTTCCCAAAACCTTGCAGATTATAACAAACTGGCAGGAAGAGCTCAATTGCCTGCATAAATGAGCTTCCTATTTCCCATTCTTTCCTGCCACTGTTTCAGTCTGCAGCCTCAGCTAGAAGAAAGAATGTGTTGGGAAAGAGGTCTGGCAGTACGTTTAGGTCTGGCAGTATGTTTGTAAACATTAGTAAGCATATCATGTGTTTTGTAGTTAATACTGATATCTTGAAAGTAAAACAAAAAATATTTAATCTAGGAAAATACCATAGTGAAGTTAGCTGACTGTAAAAGGTTAGATTTTTCTGAAATATTCACTAAAGTTACTTTTCATACTCTTCTCGTTGTTTTCCAACCTCTTTACCTCACCTGTTCACACTTAGTTACAACTGCTCCATATCAGAGTGATAAGCATGTTTTCTTGGTTATAATTTTGAACTGTCTTTAGTTTGGAAAAGTCATCCCCCTCCTTCCTTAAGTCCCTCCTGTTTCCTTCTTAGCTCTTGCTATTGTTTGAGTGAGCAGTCATGGTCATGCTGCTATGGTTTTTTTCTGCCTCTTGACTGTGTGCAGGTATTACTTTTTTTTTCTCTTCCATTTAAGCAGCTCTTCCCCATTTTCTTGGAGCTTATCTGAAGATATTTTGGTAAGCACTCATAAAAGAAGCTTAGCAGAAAAAGAGAGGACTATTCCTTTATAATTCAGATGGGCAGAAATACTTAGTCCAACCAATTTATGTGACGTATACACCTTAGACTGTTTACTGTAACCTTTTCATCCCCTAGAAATTATCCCAACAGTCAGTCCCCTTCCATTTCAGATTTTACGTATCCTTGATGTCTTTTCTCTGACTATGAAGAGATCAGGGTTGTTCTTCCTAGCTTGCAAGGAGGATATCAGAAAATGACATAGAGTACCCTCAAATATGTTTTTCAGCATTGAGATAGATAATGTGACTAGGCAGCAAAGAGAAATCAAACAACGAATATAGAAAGGTGATGGGAAATGCAAAAAGGGCTCTACTCCAAAATATATTTGAGTTGATGGGTCATATTATCTGGAGAAAAAAATGCA